TGGGAGACCCAGAAGGAGTTCCAGACTCCTGGCTTTGGCCTGGCCCAGCTCTGTCCCAGGCTTTGCAGCTATGTGGGGAGTGAACCAGCAGATAGATTTTGTCTGTCTCTCTCTCTCTCTTACTCTGGTTTCAAACAAGTAAAATAAATGTTACAAAGAAGAAGTAGTTGTTAATGTTATCTGCTAGCTACTCCATTTTTGGGCCTTTCTGATACCCAGGAGTGGAAGTTGGATGCAGTCTACTCCAGGATTTGATTCATGCTTTGTTGTCTGCTCTTCATCCCCAGCAGTTTGGGGACAGCACATGTGCATGACGGGAGGTACCGTGTGCTTTGTAATCACTCATCAGGAGGCTTTCACTGTCTGACTTTCCCAGTTGTATTCACGCTATGAGTATATGTGGCTTTGGAGATGACAGCTGGATCTCTTCTTTGCATATTTTTCCATTTACCTTTCCCTCTAATGGGTTTTCTATCCACTTGCTATTCATTACATGAACTCATCATTTTACTAATGCTTACAAAATGGTAATTTTCTAATTCTGCCATTTGGTTTGCATTTTTGGTTGGCATGTCTTTTTATTGAAAACTTTCCTTTACTAGGTACCTTTTCATATCCCCAAATACAACTCATACTGGAAAGGCAGAGTAAATGCTTCATTATTCCCCATTAATTCTCTATGATCAGTCATAAATGGTGACCTAGGATTCTCTAGTGACATCTAATGAATTTTAATTTTTCTTATGCATTTTAATATACAGTATGTTCATATTAATGGGGTTATTCTTTCTATAATAGCATGAATTTTAGTGGTTTTATACGTAGCCATTATGTATATTAGTCTTTCTTTTTTTAAAAGTATAATATCCATTTTTTCCCCAAAGATTTATTTATTTGCTTGAAAAGCCAAGTTACAGAGAACCAGAGGCAAAGGCATAGGCAGAAGTAGAGAGAAAGAGAGGTCTTCCATCCATTGTTTACTCACCAAATGGCCACAACAGCCAGAGCTGCGCCGATCTGAAGCCAGGAGCCAGGAGCTTCTTCCAGGTCTCCCACGTGGGTGCAGGGCCATCTTCCACTGCTTTCTCAGGTCATAGCAGAGAGCTGGATCAGGAGAGGAGCAGCCTGGACTAGAACTGGCACCTGTATGGGATGCCAGCACTGCAAGTGGAGGCTTAACCTGCTAAGCCATAGCGCCAGCCCCAAAATATAATATCCTTTTAAAAAGATTTATTTTACTTTTTTGAAAGACAGACTGATAGAGAGAGGGTGAGGTAGAGAATGAAAGAGATCCTTCACCTACTGGGTCACTTGGCTGCAACAGTCAGGGTTGGGTCAGACCTAAGCCAGAATTCACACAATTCTAATGTAATTGGGCAGTCTTCCACTGCCTTCCCAGATGCATTAGCAGGGAGCTGGATCAGAAGTGGAGCAACCGGGACTTGAACCAGAGCCCATATGGGATGCCAGCATCACAAGTGGTAGCTTAACCTGCTGTACCACAACACGGGCCTCTAGACCATTTTTCTGAATAAATTTATCTTTGTTCTTGGACATTTTACTGCCTTCCAGTTTTTCCCTATTAATATTTCATTTATTCTATACCAGGAGCTGTGCTAAGCACTTTACATGTTTCATTATCACAGCAATCCTGTGGTGCATCACTCTTTGAATATGCCCAGGAATGTTCAGCTAGAATATATTTTCCACAGTTCCTGGCCAAAGGGATGAAGGTTTTTAAGGTCGTTGACACCTGTGTCCAAATTGTCTCCTGAAGCTTTTAATTTATCAGTAATAGAAAATTTAATTGATTTTACTCATTGCCAGACATTCCTTGAAGTCCTGGGCAGAATGTGGTAGCCAACCAACAGAATCTGCTAAAAGGGAGTTTATATTCCACCAGAAGACAGACCACAGACCAGCTTACATTCAAGGGCTGGGTTTTAAGAATGAGTAAGGTGGATAATGGCAAAATGAGAGAGAGGATGTGCTATTTTTTTTAAAGATTGCTTTTATTTCTTTGAAAGAGTTACAGAGAGAGGTAGAGAGAGAGAGAATGAGAGAGAGAGACTTCCATCCATTGGTTCACTCAAGTGGCTGCCACAGCTGGAGCTGAGCCTATATGAAACCAGGAGCCAAGCACTTCCAGTTCTCCCATGTGGGTGACAGTGGGCACAAGCACTTGAGCTATCTTGTACTGCTTTCCCAGACCATTAGCAAGGAGCTGGATTGGAAGTGGAGCAGCCAGGACTTGAACCAGCACCCATATGAGATGCTGGTGCTGCAGGCTTTAAGCTGCGGACCCACAGCGCTGGACCTGGGGTTGTGCTGTTTTAGGAAGGGTGGTCAAGAAGTTCTCTCGGTGGAACTAATGGCTGAGTGGAGGTCTGAATGAAATGAAGGAAGAGATGAGTCCTCATCTGTCCTAGGGAATAATGTTCCAGCACAAGAACCTCCTCAGGGGGCCGGCACAGTGGCTCACTTGGCTAATCCTCCACCTGTGGTGCCTTCATCCCATATGGGTGCCAGGTTCTAGTCAAGGCTGCTCCTCTTCCAGTCCAGCTCTCTGCTGTGGCCCAGGAGTGCAGTGGAAGATGGCCCAAGTGCTTGGGCGCCTGCATCCACATGGGAGACCAGCAGGAAGCATCTGCTCCTGGCTTCGGCCGTAGCAGCCATTTGGGAGGGTGAACCAATGGAAGGAAGACCTTTCTCTCTGTCTCTCTCTGTCACTAATTCTACTTGTCAAATGAAAGAAAAAAAAAAAAGAACCTCCCTGGAAGGTGAGTAAGTGAGTAAGTTCAGTGTATTCAAGGAAGAGAAGGACATAGGCAAGAGCACAGTGAGAGGAAAGGGTAGCTTGACTTTACTTTGAGGATGAGGGAGAGGTACTGGAAGGTTTGGGGTAATTTTTGGAATTGGCATTTTTCTAGACTTGATAAAATTCTTGATAATGATCAACAGATGTGCTGTGAAGATAATCTGTCACTTGAGAACTGAAGGGGATGATTTCCTAGGTATTTAGTTCCAGTTAGGTACAGGCACGCTTAAGTTCTATAGGGGAAAAAATCCTTATTTATCCTTAAAATATGTCCTGGGAGAAAAAAGAGTGTTGACCGGTGCCCTGAAGGAATGGCACAAGTAGAAAGGCCTCTTTTCTCATTGTCACTGCCAATACCAGAGATCTTGTGATTAGTTTTGCTTTACAGTCAGAAACACCAAGAGGTACAGAAATCACATGACTATTGTCTTGTCAGAACTGCACATTTATTTTTTTTTTTTGAAATTTAGTTGTTGTAATTGAAGTATGGGTATGCATTTTGTTTTGCTTGGGCTTTAAGGGAAAATTATTGTTACATTTATTTACAAAGTTGTTAAAAAAAAACACCCACATCCAATCAATTATATGCAACAGAGACCTTTTATGGCTCTCTAAGCTAGGAATATTTACTATTTGGCCTTTTACAGAAAAAAAAATTGGTAGAGACTGGTACTTTACTTCCAGTTCCCACCATGATGTGAATTCATCAGAGTCACAGAATCATACTGTTGTATTAGAGGAGAAACCCTACAAGTATTCACCGATGCTTTCTATGTGTGAGTACAGTTGCAAGCTAAATGCTGGCTGTCAGAGAGTTTATGATTTAGTGAGGGAGGTAGGCACTAAACATGTGACTGCAAAGCACTTAATTAAAGTGGTTAATTTCATAAAGAAGCCATAAAGAGTTCCAGAAGGGTGTGGAAGAAGGTCACTGAAGACTTTCCAGCACAGGTGATTTTGATCTAAATTTAAAGAATGATCTGCTAACTGGAGGGGCTGGAGGATGGGCAGCAGCAGGGCTGACAATGAGTAGGCAGTTGCTGTGAAAGGGACCCTAGGGATTTGTTTTCTCTGCCGTAGTCTGAATGTGGAAACAGCCACCTACTTTTTTTTTTTTTTTTTGTCATGAGATGATCTTTTTTTTTAATTTAAGATATACAAGTTTCATATATTTCATGAAACAGATTTAAGAACATAGTGGTACTTTCTTCCCTCCCACCCACGCTCCAACCCTCTTCTTCCCTCTCCCATTTCCACTCTTAATTTTTACGGAGATCTGCTTACAGTTTGCTTAAGGCAAGGCAGCTTCTAGTGTCAAAAATACATTTGGGACCGGACCTGTCCTCTACCTCTGGCTAATGTGAGGACCAACTGGGGACTAAGAAAGTATTGCTTCCCGGGTCCTGTTCTCAGGTGATTTGAAGATAGGGCTGAGATGGAGAACCCTGGCCCAGGTGGACCCAGGTCCTTTGTCAGTGTCTTCCCAGTGTGTCTCTCTTGTCTCTTTTAGGGAAACAAGGAGAAGCTTGGGCCTACCTTAGACTGATGTTTCCTAGGAAAATCTGAGCCAATTTTGCGTATCTTTCTTTCTCCTTCAGCACAACTGTTTCCTGCACACCACCTCCCTTTCATTCTCAGGGCCTCCTTCTCCTCATTCCTGGAGCTGTGATGTGCATTTGTGTGATCACCCTATAATTTGAAAAGAACATGGATGCAAGTGTTCCACCCCTCTGCAGCTCCACAGCACCGTGCCTGGCACCACGAATGTCAGCCACTGACATTTCCAGGCCCACATGGTGGCACTTGGGTTACTGACTGCTTCCTTAGAGAACCATCTGCAGGGTAACCAGAGCAGGAGGAAGATTGCCAATGGAATCCCAAAGGCGGGGGCTTCTTCATTCAGATGGGAGATGTGCAGCCCACGACTTGGCTCATTCCCTTTGGATGGAGGCTGAAGATATTTGGGGAATGGGCGAGTGAACCTGATCTGCCATTTCATGCATGGTGTCCGTGGACGCTGACTGCAGAGTGTTTCTGAGTTTGAGAGGCGCCTTACTGCCCAGGGCTGTAGCCTTGGAAATGATGTTGCTCACTGACTGTGTACCTGGTCTGTCTCCTCTGGGAGGCTTCTCAGCTGGGTGAACCGCCAGCCTCCCTCCTAATGAGTGTATTTCATCCGCAGGGAGGACTCTGTTGGAGAAGCTCTTCAGCCAACAGGAGAACGGGCCTCCAGAAGAAGCAGAGAAGTTTTGCTCACGGATCATTGCCATGGGTCTCCTACTTCCTTTCAGTGACTGCTTCAGGGAACCATGTAATCAGAATGCCCAATCGAACTCAGCTCCGTTTGATGTAAGTAGAAGAATTCACTTCTGTCCGAGAACTGGATTGCAGTTGAAATAGGAGCTGTGATGTGCATTTGTGTGATCACCCTATAATTTGAAAAGAACATGGATGCAAGTGTTCCACCCCTCTGCAGCTCCACAGCTCACGTTCCTTTATGACTAGAGTGTTGTTTATTTGCCAAAACTCCTTGTGTTAACGGATGGCGACACACCAATTTTCTAGCCTGCTTCCATCAGCAGTTATTTAAAGGTGCTTTTAAGTCAGTATTTCTGACTATACTGGTCATGGGCATTCCTTCAGAAGCAGTTCCACAGGGCAAAGTATGTCTCCCAGTGGGCTGCAGGTTTCCATGGGCCCCAGGATGCTATTTCCATGCGTTCCTCTCTCATTTATATACAGAATGTCAACATGAGCAGCACAGTCTGACCTCTCCCCCAGCTCCCATTCACTAAGAGAGTTCATAGTGCAGAACTGTAACTTGAAAGCCGTATTCATAATTCATCACGGACATCAGCACAGCTGCATTGTCATGCCCAAACCAGAGTGTTGCTAATCTTTCTCAGGTATGTGGGACATGGGTGACATTGGTTGTGATGAATATGCATCTGAAACCCAGATGTGTAAGAATTCCCTATATGCAGTACTCATAAGAAAATTGAAGGGCTGGTGGCTCACTTGTGTGGGGCTCAGAGTACGTATGTATTAGAGTAACAGGTTCTCATTGCTGTGAGATCATGCATTTGTTCCTCTGCTGCCAATTGTTTTCCTCTTCTCCTATCCTCTTCCCTCTTCAATAGGTATGCTGTGGTTCAAGGGGTGAAATAATAATGCATTCTGAAAACAATGAGAATGGGCCTGCGCCGCGGCTCAAAAGGCTAATCCTCCGCCTTGCTGTGCTGGCACACCGGGTACTAGTCCCGTTCGGGGCACTGGATTCTGTCCCGGTTGCCCCTCTTCCAGGCCAGCTCTCTGCTGTGGCCAGGGAAGGCAGTGGAGGATGGCCGAGGTCCTTGGGCCCTGCACCCCATGGGAGACCAGGAGAAGCACCTGGCTCCTGCCTTCAGATCAGCGCGGTGTGCCGGCCGCAGCGTGCCGGCCGCAGCGGCCATTGGAGGGTGAACCAGTGGCAAAGGAAGACCTTTCTCTCTGTCTCTCTCTCTCTCTCACTGTCCACTCTGCCTGTCAAGAAAAAAAAAAAAAAAGAAAGAAAGAAAGAAAGAAAACAATGAGAATGAATGCTGGCTGAGATCAGGATGTGGTAGTGAATAACTGAGTGCCTATATTTGGATTATTTTTTTCCTTCCTCTTCCTTATCCATTACATCCTTCTTCTCCCTTTAGTTTTAGACATATAAATGGCATGGTGTATCCAGAAATCTTTTTGATATTTTGCATCTAAACTAAAAGAAAATTCTTTGGATTGTGCTGTGACTTGTGAAGAATTCCTTCTTCTGAGTTTTTAATTGAAAATTTTCCTGCTGGAATTAAAAATATGATGTTAGTAGTCATTGACAGCTAGGTAGATCTTTTCCTTCGATTAGAAGAATTGAATAATATTAATTTTTTTCTTCTCCTCTGTGAGAAGTCTGTGGTGTTATAGAGACAGAACCTCAGACTATGGTGAATTAAGGATTAGTGAGGTGTTTTCTGGAATTATACTAGGCAAACACTTGCTATATATAGCACTTGCTTTGTGATTAAGACTATCCCCTAATTATTTCATTTTTCTTTGTTATAATTCAGACATAAACCATCTTATTGGTCATTCACTTGGCATTGTAATAAACGGAGAACAGAGTCATACCACTCGTCTCTCAGTCTTTCTGTCCTTCAGTCTACCACCAGATTGCCTCTTGTCCTTCACCTCTTTTCAAGCTGGTGTTCGGGAGAATTAAGTTTTCCCAGTTCTGGTGTTTTGAAGGGCACAGTGTGAAAAGCAAACACAAATAAACAGAATCCCTCAAAATGAGGAATTTCTCTCTCTCTTCTTGTTGTGGTTGCTTGTTATTCTTACTTTATTCATTGACTCTGTACTACCTCTTTATTCTCTCTACTCAACTGAATACAAAACAAGAAATTAAAGGGCTCTTGAAAGAAACGTTACTCTGTATTCTTAAACTGCTGTTCAGTTGTACAGTCATGCACTTACTGGATACATGGTCAGGGTTTTCGTCAACACCTAGAAGGGGTAATAATAAGAGGATTAGGGAGAACTAAGGTATCAGTGGAGGATGGGGAGAAATATGGTTGTCCATAGGGAGAGAACTGAGTCTCCCTGTTGGTTTCCAGAAGATAGCTGTGGGGAGCATTTCTAAGCAACAATTCCCTTGAGGGCCGTGCCCTTCAAGCCAGAGCACCCTGTGGGAATCAGCTCATCACTGGCACCCTTCCCACCCCTGATTTTTGCCTTTGTTCCCTTCCCTAAAAGCATCCTCTCCCCTACTTTTTCTTCTCCCTGTTTACACTTGTGATTGGAGCAGTGTAGACGTGTGAGGATCTTCATGATGCATTTTACGAATGAGCCTACTTCACTGAACCCTTTGGATGTTAGCCTAACATTATTTTCTATATACATGGAGGGCTTAACCTTTTGCTTTATAATGTACTTTAGAAAATATGAAAGGACTTTATATTTTCTCTCACATTTTAACTCGATTAAGGTTTCAAGAACTTTAAAAGGTAAAGATAGCCTTGAGTGTTGAGGTTAACTCACCCACAAATATTTTCCAAATCCATTTTATAAGCCAGGAAATATTTTAGATTTTTGATATGTGTTAGTTAGCCAAAGAAATAAGATTTCTGTTCTTCTGAAGTATAAATCATATTCATGGTGGGATGAGGCAGAAAAAATAAATAAGCAAACAAGTAAAATAAAAGCACAGGAATATTAATTTTCATCAGATTCTTAGAGGGTCAATGCAGGAAATACACTTGAATAATGTAATAGAATGGATGAGGTGAGGTAGGATCCCTTTCTAAGGGCCTGTGAGGTGAGGTCTGAATGAAGGTCATTCCAGGCAGCTCTGGGGGCAAGGACAGAGTTCATTGTAGGGGCATAATCATGATCTATACAAGGCATTGCCTCAGGGCCCGTGGAGCTGAGGCTTAGAGGCACGAGGACAGGAAGGTCTCGTGATTCAGAGTGGCCAGGATCTTGAAAGCCGTGGGAGTAATTCAGTCATTTTTATTTTTTGAAATGGAAGCGTTGGGGAGCTTTTGAGCAGAGGAAGAACGTATTTTCCATGTACATGGATCACTCAGCCTGGCATTCGGATAACAGAGGACAGCAGTTGAAGCAGTGACACCAGGAGGGCTGCTGCAGTAGCTGAGTGAGGGATGTGGCGGATGCTTGGCAGGGAGGATTATAGGGGGGTGGGTGGAGGAGTCAGTGGGTTGGGAAAGATCCTGGAGATAGAAGCTGGTGGGACCCTTGGTGGGTGAGGCCTGGAACAAGGGAAAAAGAGGAAATCAGGGTGATTTCCTGGTATTTGGTTTGAAGTAGCTGGTGATCATGTCATTACTGAGATGGAAATGTTGTAAGGACAGACTGGTGCTCATAGATATCAACTTATATTAAATAAAACTATTTATTTAGAACATTAATATGTGGTATAATACCTGGAACACATTAGCTTTTATCTTTTGCTGAGTGGAATGATGTTGACTGTTACCAAATCCAAATTAGGGCAATGAAACTTAAAATTATTGTAGCTGTAAAAAGGACTGGTACTGGCTCTCATAAAACATACATAAATATTGTCCTTCTTCTTAAGGGTCTAATGGCTTTGTCTCATTCTCTCTTTTTCATTTCCATTCTAATATGGGTAACCACAAACACAGCTTTACAGATTCTCTGTTAGTGTCTTCACAATCGCCTTCTGCCTTTGATGTGTTTTTCTTTTTCCAGTTTTGTATTTCAAGTAGAATTCTAAACTAGAGTTATTCCAAAACCAGCAGGAGAAAGACACAGGGATAATACTGTTGCTTGTTGACTAAAGGAATGTAAGGTTGAGTTGTAGGTCACCTGTGTGTGTGTATATGTGTGTGTGTGTGGTTTGAGGAAAGACATTGATTTTCCTTTGGAACCTGTTCTGGTCATCCATTTTATATTTAAGGGGGAAAATTATCTAAGTTTTTAGTAGTTTCCAATTCCTTAGAAATAATAAAGCATTTGTTATTATGACATCCTTTGTCATTTGAAGTTTCAGGCCTCTCATAGAACCATGGATGAGGCCTGCCTATCCTCAACCTATTGTTGAGTGGGGGCCCATGGTCATTGCCTGTTAGGTATGGATGGAGCTCATTTTGTAAGAACAAGTCCAGCATATGGTCCCCTTAAGACTTCTCTTCCTCCGAACACCTTTGTTAATAGTGAGATCTCTTTTTCTGGGTCGTATTCATCAGAGCTGTTTTTCAGTCAGCCATGCTTGCCTTACATAATTGTTGATTAACTATTAACAAGGTTTCTTGGATTTCTTTATGTCAGATATCACACTATATATTTACATCACAAAAACTGAAGCAAGTTTTCTTGGCTCAAACATTTCACTGTGTGGTTATCTCTACTCAATCCTTTATGAATTGATCTTAAATGCATCTGTACTGGAACATTTTTAGATGAATATTTTTTGGAGGCTGAATTTTTTTGGCTTTGGCAGATAAGCTCCTTTTGATAGGTATGTGTTTGTTTTCCACATCTTGTAGCCATGTTTGACATCTTTTTCATTAGCCAGATGATTGTGTTGCATAAATCCATGATAATGAGGGTTACAAATGTAAGTTGAAACTGAAAAATCCCATTCCTCAGTTTACTTTATTTTTAAATTTTAATGGCCTATAAAAAGTTCTTAAATTCTGTGTTCACTTGGTTGAAGAGCAGTCAAGCTTGACAAGCAACAGGCCCTGTACCTCACCTCAGACCTCTCACTTTCCGACTCTGCCCCAGAGTGATTCTCCCTGCTTTGTTTCCTCTGGTGACTTGGGGTACTTTACATTCTCTGATGTTGT